TTAGGTTTTACGGCTATACAAAAATTTGATACCCTCACCCCTTAGTCCTCCGTATCCAACTTTGGCTACGCCGCATCTTTACTAAGCATAAAGAATTGTTTTTTGTTGGGTCCCTGGTCATGTTGACGTACAGGGCAATGAACAGGCAGACACTGCTGCGCGGTCCAGCATAAAATGACCTACCATTTCTTATAGAGGTATTCCACGTACGGACTATTTTGCGTAATATCTTCCCACCTTCACACCCGTTTGGCAACAACGTTGGTCTACTATGCTCGGCAACAAACTTCAGTCTATTAAACCGGTATAGGTTACTGGCCGTCTTCTTATCACCAGTGTCGAGGTTGGGAGACTACTCTCTCCCGTCTTCGCATTGGCCATACTCGTCTTACTCATGGATATCTCATGGAGAGGCTCTTGGTTTCCTCTCTGTGAAAATTCCCAAGCTCCATTATCAGTCAGCCACATTCTGTTGGACTGCCCACTTTATCAACGAGAAACGCAGAATTTACCTCTGTCGTCGTCTTCGCCCCGCTGCTCTCTCTTTACCTTCCCTTCTCGCTGATGGACCCACCTTTCATCCGGACTCTCTCATTGACTTTTTGACAACGACGACTTACTCCACAAATTTTGATACGTTCAGCCCTTTCTACTTGTATCTCTTGCTACCCTCTACCCCCGTACTATCCCCTGCCCCGCTGTTTTCTGTAACCTGCTGATCATCCCCCCTCCCTTCTGCCATCCAATTCCCTTGCTTCCTTCCCTACCCTGCAGCGCTGTATAGCCCTTGTGGCTTAGCGCTTCTTTTTGATTATAATAATAATAATATGAAAGATGAGGTGAATCATAGAATTGACAAGGGAAGCAAATAGGGGAATGTATGAAAGTATACTATAGTTATACCAATGCTCTTATATGGGTGTGATGCATGGGTAGTGAATGTTGCAACAAGGACTAGGCTAGAGGCAGTGGAGATGTCTGAGGGCAATGTGTGGTGTGAATATAATGCAGAGAATTCGTAATTTGGAAATTAGGTGGTGTGGGATTACCAAAACTATTATCCAGAGGGCTAAGGAGGGGTTGTTGACGTGGTTCAGACATGTAGAAAGGATGGAACAAAACATAATGACTTTGAGAGTGTATAAATCTGTAGTGGAGGGAAGGAGGGGTAGGGGTCAGCCTCGGAAAGGTTGGAGGGAAGGGGTAAAGGAGGTTTTGTGTGTGAGGGGCTTGGATTTCCAGCAAGCATGTGTGTGTGTTAGGCCAGACTTGAGTCCTGGAGATGGGTACAGTGCCTGCACTCTGAAGGAAGGGTTTTAATGTTGCAGTTTTATAACTGTAGTTTAAGTGCACCTTTGGCAAGACAGTGATGGAGTGAAAGATGGTGAAAGTTTTTCTTTTTCGGTCCACCCTACCTTGGTGGGAAATGGCCGATGTGTTAATAAAATAAATAAATAAAAGTATTTGTAACTATTATTTTACTCTGGTAAGCATGCAAAACTTTTTTGTCTATTTTCTCTGTTTTTCAAGTTTGTCTGGTGACTTGAAGGCATTTTCCTCTGTACCCTCTTAATCTGCAAGTTTTAAATTTATTCCACAATGGCTAATGCTGAAATCCTCCTAGGGTTCTATTATACATGAACCTTCTGTACTCCTCTGCGAGTTATTCTTGCACTACTGTGATGTGTGAAACCAGCCAGCATAATGTAAAGGGCTCCTATACTTTTCATACAGATATATAGTGGTACATGGCTGAAATGGAGACCTAAGAGGATAAAACATGGAGCATAGCTCTTATTTGAGAGAACAAGAGACTGAAAAGGAATCGAAGATACTGAAAACGTCTAAACTTTAGGTTATAGTATATGCATAATGGAAGGGTGGATAATGTATTGAGGGATAAACTCTACCAGATACTAAAATAATAAGGGCTATGGTTTAAATTCCACACCCAAATGAGTCTCTGAAATACTAGGAAGCATTTCTTCAGTGTAAGAGGCAAGTGAAACAAGTTATGCCATGACACGGGAAGCATACTTCATACAGGGGTTCGAAAATGAACTTGACAGGTCAGTCACATCAGTAGGCTTAAAGTAAGGGGTAGGACCAAGAGCTTGAGCTCAGCCCTGTGAAGTCAAATAAGTAATTACTGTTTAATTTTATTAGCAATTTTGTATTTAACAAATTACATAATCTTGTGTAAGTACTTTAATTTGTTATACATGTATTTGTCATTTTGTCATTAGTATGTCTGCAAATTAGTTTTACATTATTCAGTATATTATTATGGGAAACTATAATATGAGGAAAGTTTACCATCTGATACTTTTCCAACAGCTACGAGCCAGAACTACATCCAGGCGTGACTTACAAGCTTGAAAGCCCTAAAGCTACGTTGAAAATATTTTCAACTGGAAGTATTACCGTGACAGGTTAGTCATATTTTATAATGTCCTTCTCAAAATATCTTGCAAGATTGGTCGTGTTTTCTCTCACATAGACTGATGTGTGTATGTGTGGGTGTCAGAATTATAGAAAGAAAATTATACTATTCATGCTTTTGTGGAAAAATAAATGATTCCTGTGATATGTATTAGAAAAATATTTAATATTGCAAAGATGTAATTTTTGGTCATTTTTTTCCAGCTCCCAGTGTTCATAATGTACAGTGTGCCATAGAGCACATATATCCCCTAGTAAGTGAATTTGGAAAAGCGCGCACTGAAGAAGAAATGGCCGAATACTGGGAACTCAAGGCCAGACGACAATTTTTTCAAGAGGAGGAGGAGTCCGACTCTGATAATCCCGCCGATATTTGGTCGCAAGATCTGTAGTTTTGTACATGTTGAAAAGTGTTATTCACCTAATAAGAAAACTCATCTGCAATCATCATGCATATCAAGCAGTATATATGGTGTTAATTGAGTTTTGTACTATCACATCATTCATATTTTTACATTCACTCAGCCTTCTTTAACATATTAGGTTGGTGCCAACCAAGGTTACTTTAGCTAGTCATAAGGCCAAACAATTATTTTTGTGTTTCCGGTAAAGAGCAGATACTGAGATTATTACAGTACGTGGAATTTTTTTAAGTTTGGCTGCATAGACAATTGATTATATACTTTTTAAGAATATTGAAACCAGTTTGATGAGTAGATAGATTTTACTATCTGTTAGAAATTATATCTCATGAGCTGTTACTTGAAGTGTGGAAATTTTCTTTAAATGGGAAATGTTTGAATACAGGCTGAACCTAAGTATTTGAAAAGGAAAGAGTTAACAGTGGACTAAAGCACAAATACAGCAGTTGACCTGCATGGTGTACGAGCAAGGAAGTAGTTGATTTTTAAAAGTACCAATGCCTACAGCAATTCTTTACTGAAGTAGAGTAAGGCAGTGGTTTTCTTATGCTACTATCTAACTGGTACTTTATAGTCCTGCTAATTGTCATACTTTTCACACACTTTTCATTTGTTGTTGGTTGCTTTACTTTTGTATATAGTCTAACAAGCATGCAAATTATTTTTTAGCTTTGCAATTGGATCTTAAATACTTGTTGGTGTGGAGAGTTCAAACATAGCTCAGCCCAAAAAATAGGAAAGAACTTATATTGACCATATTCACTGAGGGTCTGACAAACAGGTAAGCCTAATTGCTTATCATTATAGACCTCATACACTTCATTTAATGCAAACAGTTTATTTTTGTGCCTACCCACTGTGGTGGTGTCCAACTATTGAGAAGGGTACACAAATATAAATCATGAGGAATTTAATAGCAACAGTGGGAAATAAGAATTATGGATAAAGTCCTAACCATTTCCACAACTTATAACCTAGTACCCCAATCTTAGTTTTATTTCAGTCTCTCATCCATCATGGTGCCTCCAATGTGAGGAGATAAACTTAGGTGTGTTGTAACTCCTGAAATTATTCCATAACTACCTAGCCTATCACTATCCTGTATCAGGGTATTTCTCTGCACCAAAGAACAAGGCGAATGCAGTTTTATAGTGGGGAATATTTACCCCATTAACTAAATTATTAAAAGTTGAACATTCCAAATGAATGGTTAACTTGAGGGAATCTCATATATTCTTCTCTTTAATTCATTAGGAATAACTTACACAAATAATATCTATGTTAAAGAATTGCTCATGATGAGGGTTTAAGCCCTCGCTTAATAAGACACTCGACATTACAACAATTCAGTAACACTTTGTGAATCTCTTGCCTATATCTGTGAAGTGTACTGTGAAAGTGTGTTAAATTGCCCTTAAGTGTACTGCAACTCTTTCCATCACTAAACACTTTCCTCTTGCTTTTTCCTTACTAAAAGTGCTAGCCTTCATTAATGTGTTTCTTTCATAGCTTTCTTAGTTTTTAGGACTGTGTTCAGTAAGTGATATTGAGGAAGCAAGAAAACAGTCAAGGGTGGTCTGCTTTCATATCTCTTATACTATATGTAAGAAAGGTTTTCTTGGCTTTGACAGCATTTTAATTCTTGGTAGTCAGATTATTAAGAAGGTTTGTATGTTTGGCATATTTTATTCTAATGTGAATTTCTTGTCACCACATAAAGGATAACTGTTCAGTTCTTTAAAATGCCATGATGCCAGTAAGGATTAATTAATGAGACACATAAGCACTAAATCTGTAGTCTTGAGAAATATCTTTGATAAAAATTTTGCATTATGAATTTACATTCATTTCAGTCTAGGAATACCAAGTCATAAACACATACTTTGCTAGTGGTTCAGTCATTTAATATAAATATTATGCCTCTTATTCATAACTGAATACTCCTCTCTTGTTTAAGTTTGGCCTGGGAAGGGGAACATGAATTAAAAAATATATAGAAAGTCTAAGTTATTGAAAGCATTGAAGAAATAACATCCCTATTCAACCAGTTTATCATCACCAGTGATTACAAATGTACTTAAGTGTTTGAGTATTGGCCATGATTTCTTCTTGCATCCTAAATTAGAGTACTGTAATAAGTGTTGTGGCATTTATTACAATACATTTGTTGAAATTTACATTGTTTTGAGATACTTGAGAATTGTCCCAGTAAGGTATTTTATAATTCTTCTAAATAATGGTTATTATACAGTATTTAGCCCTCTGCCACAAGTAAACTAATGCAGTAATAGCACTATTTTATAATCATCATTTTATTCCAGTGGATCTATATTCATTCATTGTTTCATTAGCACTTGGTTTGCCATATTTTAATAGACTCCAATTGTACCAGAGTCCACATAATACACTCCCAACATCTAGAATGCTTGGTGCTCTCACTCAAACCAGCTTTCTCACTGAAAGTCCCACCTTTAATGCACACTCACTCTTTGACATTTTTAAACTAACCACTTACACCACCTATGACCACTTTTGCATCTACACTAAACCCCCCACCTCCCCTAGCCCCTACCCTTGCATAATTGACGATACTGGTGAGAGGGGGACTCCTGATGCAAGGAATTTGACTTGTTCATCCCTTCCTCAGATTGAACCTAATTGCTTCCCATTCCTCAAGCAATTCTATAACCACAGCAGATTTACCACTTTCCCTTAAATATAATAATGTGATGTATGACTCATGCTGGCTTAGCATATGCTTTGAATATGATGATAAAAAAAAAGTTTAATTGTTAGATGCCTTATAAAGATCTGACTAGAGGAAAATCTTGCTCACTAATGACTGATATTCTTTCCTCTACATACATATTGGTGCACCATTTTAGTACACTGGGGATGATCTAGCTGCAGGTTTTTAACATAGTCAAGCCATTGATCCTGCTTCAACAAAAGTGCTAGTTAACTAATACGTACTTTAGTGGGCCAGTTTTATGGCATTCCACTTATGTGGATTTAGATCCATAATTATTTTCCTCCTATTATCTACTATATAATTTCAATATTTTTTTTTTGTGCATATTATAATGGTGTTTTAGAACTTATTTCAATAACTTCTGCTGGGTTTCCATGTTTTTAATCACCATTATGTGCCTTTTTACTCCTTGGAATATCATAGTGACTACTCTAAAGTAACAGTCTGGATTAGCTTGGCTCCCATAAATCCACACAGAAATGGCCTGCTAATCTTCAAAAAACATTCTCATCTGTGACTGGGTTCAGTAACTTAGACCTTGTTCATTAGCACCAAGTGCAAGCAAATGTGTAAATAAACTTGGCTTTGTATACCCTGCTGGCACCATTGCTATCAAAATCAGATTGCCTGTACATCCTTGAGATCTTTTTGTTTATGCCATCTACCAGCATACAGTTTACTTTAAACTATGTTGCAGATATAATAGTAGTGAATCACTCAAGATCGTACTTGGTATAACCACAGTTGTACAACCTCCTTTAAGGTTCTGCAGGGGTTGTAAGTTAGTCTTGAACTTTTATAGTTTGCTATAATAGTTTACTTGGTGGCTAACCATCCTATTATTATTATTATTATAATCAAAAAAGAAGCGCTAAGCCACAAGGACTATACAGCGCTAACCATCCTAAAGAGTCATCATACTGCCAGGTTCTTTTGAAAGTCTTAAATTTAAGTTATTTTGCCAAAAAGTACATTATCATGACTGCTCAGACAGATGCATGTAATGACAAGGTCTTATATTGCTACAAACTAATGATGCATTCAGTATGAAGCAGTTGTTTATTACAACAAAAATGAAAGCTTGTAATGCTAGCTCCTACCACCTTGAACAAATACAGTTTTAAAGATTTTAATTTTTTTTTTTTTGGAGTTTTTGTGTTTGCTACAAAGAGTACTGTATAACTGATAAGCTTCCTCTCTCTCACATAAACTCTCCCTCTTCCTCCCTGTCCTGCCTTCCTTTCACAATCCCCCAGTCTCCATCTCATTCTTTCCTTTATCTTCTCTCTTCTCATTGTTTCTTCTCTCTCCCTTCCATTCCTGTTTTTTCTGTTTTTTACTCTTATTGTAATGTGTATCCCTCTGGTGCTTGTATATCATTTTTTCCTTTCCCATAATGCATTTTGTCATTATAGTTCTGACAGCATAACACAAAGAGACAACTCTTGGTATTTTGGCTGGACTTCAAAACAAGTCTCACTTGTCCCCCACCTCAATAGCTGGACAGACTGTGGCTTAGGGTAGCGATGTGCACTTTGCCTACATATGCTCAGTTACCGTTCAAACTTTGTGGCACAAGGTACCGCTGAAGAATTTTGTGAAATATAACCTGGTAGTTGATTGTTTTCAGGTTTGGACATTACTAAAGTAGTCATCAGTTGGAGGATTACTTCTTTTGTTCAGTCTAAAGGTTTGGTGTAAGAGAATGTTAAATTTTGAACTTTGTTGGAAGGCAGCTCACTATTTTAATGTATGGAAGTGAGTCAAATGTGTGGTGGGAGAATGATGGAAAAATAGCATTAGAGCTGGAGTTTTGTTATTAGATGTTGAGCATGAAATGAAATTGTACAAAGCTTAAAAAAAAAAGATAGATAAGGCTGAAGTTGTGCACTATGAATTAATGACAAAGAGCATGGAAATGAAATAATAAAGGGGCAAATTTAAATATGAATTACATGGGAGGAGAGAAAGCATGTATGCGAATTAGGTGTTTTAGTATGTGGAAGAGCGAGGTATGCATAGAGGACTGCATTTAATACAGCTGAAAATATAGTAGACATACAATGTGAATGTATTCTACAGCAGTAAATAATAATGTATGGATATTAAAAAAGTAACCTAAGTATGAAAGATGACTTAGAGTAGTTGTTTTATAAGGTTCTTACTTGGGCTAAAAAAAAAAAATCAGTTATTACCGGAAACACATTTCTGCGGGGAAAAGGCCTGATGTGAAAATTGAGCAGTCACAAAAGTACACTGTATTTATTCAGGGATAGCATTGTACTTTGTTTGTACATTCACATAATGCATGAAGATATTTGTCAGTTGTGCACTCTTCATTGAACATAATCCTTAATGACTGCATAAGAGTTGGTGTGTAGTACTATTTTTTTTTTTTTCTCCTACAGCAATATTTCAGACAAAGTCTACAAAGAGGCCCATGCTTGAACCTTTAAATCTCCTAATTGTGTATATTCATCCTAATCATTGTGTATTATGTATATATAAATATGTATGTATGACTGTTATTTTCTTAGGTCTTGCACAATCTTTAGTTTTATTCAAAAAGAGATGTGGGGCTTAACCAGTGACCACAAGATTTGACGAGTGGCATTATTAAGGAGAAATATTTAAGCATGGTTTTAAGAAGCCATTGTGAATGTATGGTGTAGCTAGAGGGGGAGCATCATGGGAACATTATACATTTCATCCTCATACATTTTTTTTATTTACCTATGATTTGAAAGAATGTATAAACTGTTATTTCTGAAGTTGGTCTATGATATTGCAAAGCAGCTTAATTCATTAAGGATTTGAATCACCAAAGCATTTTTAAATTCTCTACTTGATTTTTACCTTAATTATGGTTAGGTTTAACAAACTTTTTGATACAGTGGTGATGGGTTCTGGTACTGACGTTTAAGCAGATATGGCAGTGGTGGTGAATGATCCGTCATACGGAGCTTTAAATGCATCGTCACACGTGTTGATATTTACTAATTATCTGCATAGTCTGTACCATAGTCTCCCATCAGGAACACTGTGATATTTACTACTGTATATGAATAAGTTTAGTTTTGTAATTTAATTTGGCATGATCAAAGATTTAATCATATGTACCATTTAGACATTGTACTAAATTTTACAATGATATACAGTACTATTCTTTGTAACCAGCTTTTCCTCTATGCAGGGAATTATTTTCAAAGTTCTTGTCGTGTTACTTCTGAATCTAAACCCTCTAGAAAGAGAGCAATACAAAAATGGCCTTCCATATGCTTGTTTCCATTGGTGCCCTTGTTTGTGATACATACTGCTAATTGTATGTGCCAGTAGTTGTGGGATGTACAGCAATACATTTCTTAGTTATTGCTTTTAGGCATTAACTGATTATTTTTTAATTTGCTGCCTTCCATTCAATATAGCTTTTCAGGTGTAGTGTTGTTCCATTTATGTAAAGTTAGTAATCAGACAGATCAGATTAGTAAGAGCATTGGTAATGAATAATTTATTTTTAAACAGTATAGAAAATTTATCTGAAATGTAAGGATCATAACAGCTATATAATATCTCTGAACTATTGGAATGCTTAAAAGCATTTGGAAAGTATTTGTTGGACAGAGAAGGAAAGACTGCTGATAATATGTACAGTACATGAAAAATACTGGAGGGCCAGAGTCACTTCAGAGGGAAGTGCATTAATGTAGGTGAAGGACTCTTGATCCAAGCAGTTGGAGCTACCCTTCCTGTGTTGCATGAAACCTAGTTACCACCCATTCCTCGAGTGCTATACAACCACTGGGTTTAGCTCCTGTCCATGCATATTAAGTAAATAATTACTAAAAAAAAGTTAACACAGGATGAGGTGAAAAATGAACATTGTGCAGATATTTAAAATAAAAGTGATAGGGAAGAACCTTTAAACTAGAGGCATGTTTCTAATGAATGTACAATATATGACCTCCCAACGGGGTTAGCACTTGCCTATGAATAGAAAAAATTATGTAATACCAATAGTTTGGTCTTTTGGGTAGAGATATTTTATACCAATCCTATTAAGCTTTATAATAGTTACCCTTTCAAAGTTTACCTTGTTGGTGAAGGCCTCTGAATCCAGTCAGTTGGAGCTGCCATACCTTTCTTGGATCAAACCTAATCATCTTCCCATGAATGTAATAAATTTTATTAGTATCAAAATTCAGGTGGATACCTGGATGCTGGTGAAGGGCTTTAGATCGAAGAAATCTGATCAAAATTTATTGATCCCTCCATTCTTAGTATTAAGTGACCCCTCTGGGTATAGTGTTGCACCCATGAATATCGAGTGCTACCCTACAGGTAATGAAATGTCAACTGGCAAACTGTGACACTAAGGGAGGGGAGGGGATCTTGATCCAAGGAACTGGGCTTATCCTTCCCCTTCTTGGACTGAACCTGAATGCCTTCCATTTCCCAAGCACTTTGTGATGCTGGTGAGGGGCTCTTAATTTAAGGAATTGAGCTTGCCCTTTCCTTCCTTGGATTGAACCTGCTTTCCATTCACCCCAGGTACTGTATGACCTTCCCTAGGTTGAGCACTTCATGAATGTCATAATTATGACCCCTCTGTTCAAAGGTGGTGTCCTGATGTAGTGAGGAGCTCTTGATCTAAGGAATTGGGTTTATACTTTCCCTTGAATCAAATCTGAATGCATCTCATTCCCTAGGTGCTACATGAACACCCTACAGGTTTAGTGCTTTCCCTTACTTAAATCATTGAAACCAGTAGGGTGATAAGTTAATCCTCCAGCATCACACTATGAGTTCACCCTGCAAGGGGTTCCCCTGATACCGGTGAGGGGCTTTCTATACAAAGAACTGAACCTGACTGCCTCATTTCCTGTGCCAAGTCCATCCTAGAGTATGCAGTTTGGTCCCAATGGATTTTTCCTCTTCATAACCAGGTACTTCAGATCATGGCACCTTTCATCACAGACCTATTACTCTTACTAGTGCAATCTGTAAGTTGCTAGAACATTACTTAGCAAATGTTTAGTATGGTACTCAAAAACTCGAGATTCACTCGCCCCTCGTCAATTTAGTTTCCATAAGGGTCATTTTATCTTGGACCTTTCACTCTGCTAGGATACGTGCATTCACAGTGCCTTTCCTAATAGTTATAGCAGTTTTTTATCTCAAAAAAGCATATCCACCTGCATAGGTGGTATACACACTGTTCTTTGTATCTCTCCTCCTCGAGCATTATCTATTCCGGATATTGCCTTTCTTGTTTTGTCATTACCGCCACCACTTCTGTTACTTGGTGATTTTAATGCCCATCATTTCCTCCGGGGGGGGATTTCCCTGTGATTCCTATGGCATTCAGCTAGAGGCTTTTCTTGCTTCCCACCCCCCTCCATGTTTTAAATACAGGTACATACTCGCACCCATTTTGATCCTCGTACTCATACTCTCTTGCATCGATCTCTCAGTCTGCTCTTCCTCCGCCGCACTAGACTTCACCTGGTCTGTTCTCCCGGATTTACATGACAGCGATCATTTTCCAATCATTCTTACTTCCCCTTCATATTCACCACCTCTTTGTAACCCACGCTGGCAATTTGATCAGACAAATTGGGACCTTTACTCACAACTAACTGTTTTTAGTGAGGTTCCTTCTTCGTCCTCCATTGATGAGCTTTTACACCTCTTCTCGTCCTCAATTTTAACTGTAGCTTCTCATTCTATACCCCAAACCTCGGGCAGGTATTCTCAGAAATGCGTGCCTTGGTGGTCTCCTGCTTGTGCTCGTGCATTACGTTTGAAATGCGCTGCGTGGGGCAGGTACTGGTATAATAGAACCACTGAGAGACCTTGATTTTAAGCAGAAGCGTGCGATCGCTCGCCGTGTCATCCGTGACGCTAAACGCACTTGCTGGCGAGATTGTCTCCACCATCACCTCTTCTTCCTCTACGAGTGCAGTCTGGAAAAAAAGTACGGAAACTGAGTGGTAAATATTCTCCTGCTGCATAGCCCTTGTGGCTTAGCGCTTCTTTTTGATTATAATAATAATAAATATTCTGGCCCGGCTCCTGTTCTGCGGGTTACTGGTGTTAATATAGCAAACCCTCTAGCTAGATGTTGCCATTGAAATTGGCAATCATCTGGTCCGTATTTCTCTGAGGCTCCATCTCTGCCCTTTGTTTCTTTCCTCAAAGTCTGCCAGAGAGCTAGCACCCACTGGACTTTTCTTCTCTCAGAGAACAGTATAATGTGCCTTTTACACTTCAGGAACTGGAGGCAACACTCTCAGCTTGCCGATCATCGACAGCTGGGCTCGACGACATTCATATTCGTATGTTACAACATTTACATCAGTCAGCCCTTGCAGTCCTCTTGTGCCTTTTCAGTCTTATTTGGTCACAAGGAGTTCTTCCACAGCTGTGGAAATCTGCCATTGTTCTGCCTTTCCGCAAACCGGGTACTACGGGACATGAAGCCTCCCACTATCGTCCCATTGCTCTTACCAGTGCAGTTTGCAAAGTGATGGAACGTCTGGTAAATAGACATTTTATGTGGCATTTAGAGACACACAACAGTCTCTCCACTCGTCAACGTGGCTTTCATAAGGGCCGTTCTACCATAGACCCCTTAATACGTTTGAATACGTATGTTTGTAATGCCTTTGCGAATAACAACTCGGTTATTGCTATATTTTTTGACCTTGAGAAAGCATATGACACAACTTGGAGGTATAACATTTTGGCCCAAGCCCACTCCTTAGGCCTCCGAGGCAATCTACCATCTTTCCTTAAGAGCTTTTTAACTGACAGACATTTCCATGTTCGAGTCAATAATGTGCTCTCCCCAGACTTTGCCCAAGCTGAAGGTGTCCCTCAGGGATGCGTTCTGAGCACAACACTTTTTCTCCTTGCCATAAATGATTTGGCCTCTGTTCTTCCATCCAATATTTGGTCATCACTCTATGTAGATGACTTCGCTATTGTTTGTGCAGGCGCTGACTGTCACCTCATTACAGTTTCTCTCCAGCATGCGGTCGACCGTATTTGAAATTGAGCCATCATGCATGGGTTTAAATTTTCCAGTACCAAAACTCAGCAAATTACTTTCACTAGACGCTCTGTCATCTCCGATCATCCTTTGTACCTCTATGGCTCCCGTATCCCTGAACGTGATAGTCAGGTTTCTAGGCCTTCTCTTTGACCGTAGGTTATCCTGGAAACCCCACATTACCTCTCTAAAGGCAACTTGTCACATCCGGCTGAACCTTCTTAAAACCCTTGCTCATCTTTCATGGGGAGCTGATCGTCCAACTCTCCTTCACCTACATTCAGCCCTCATTTTATCGAAACTCGATTATGGTGACCAGATCTATTCAGCGGCCTCTCCTGCTACTCTCTCTAGCCTTAACCCCATCATCACCAAGGATTACGTTTATGCCTTGGTGCTTTTCGCTCTTTTCCTGTTGAGAGCCTCTATGCAGAAGTGAATGTTCCATCCTTGTCTGATCGCCGTGATGCCCATTGCCTTCACTACTATGTGCGCTCTCACGATCTCCTCAATCCTTCCATTTATAGAATAGTCACTGATATTAGTAGACATTCTTTATTTGTTCGCCGCCCTTGTTTGCTCCGTCCCTTCTCTCTTTGCCTACATTCGCTCTTGTCTTCCCTTCAGTTACCGCCTTTATATGTTCATGTAGCATCTCACTTTTCCCTACCCCCCTGGGAAGTTCCAGCTGTTCGGATCTGTTCTTTCTCACTCCCTTGCTCGAAAGCCCAACTGCCTATGGTGGTTTCCCACTCTCTTTTTCTTGACCACTTCCACTCTAATTCTCATGCCATCGCCGTGTACACAGATGGCTCTAAATCTTCTGACGGCGTCGGATTTGCAGCAGTGTTTCCGGACAGCATCGTGCGAGGGCATTTACTATCTTCGGCTAGCATTTTTACTGCTGAATTGTATGCTATTCTTGCAGCACTTATTCGTATCGCATCTATGCCTGTGTCATCATTTGTGGTTGTCTCAGACCCCCTTAGTGCTCTACAGGCTATACGGAAATTTGATACACTTCACCCCCTAGTTCTCCGTATCCAACTTTGGCTACGCCGTATCTCTACCAAGCATAAAGATATTGTTTTTTGTTGGGTCCCTGGTCATGTTGACGTACAGGGCATTGAACAGGCAGACACTGCTGCATGGTCAGCAGTACATGACCTACCAATTTCATATAGAGGTGTTCCATTTATGGACTATTTTGCTGTAATAGTTAC